CCCCACATACTGAGATAGGATCACAATAACTCAATAACTGAAGAGCCCACATGCAGGTTATTTTTTTCTCTAACAAGTTTACAGCAGTGTACAGCCTGTCTCTTATACACATCTAGATGTGCGGGCCGGACCAGCTGCGCCTACCTCCGGGGCAGGCTCAGTGGGAACCGTGCGCCTGGCGGCTCCACCCTTCTCCCGGGCCGCTGCCACGCCCTCCAGGACATCTTGTAAAGGGATTAGCACTTTTTTCCTTTGCTCCTCTTGCCCCGAGGGCCCTTGCTTACCCCTAAACTCAGAGTCGGGCGCCACCAGGTCCGGGGGAGCCCGGGGCACAGGCGGTCCCGGCAGTCAGCCTTCGATTCCCGCTCCATCCCCATCCCCCTTTGTCCGCGGTGGATGCGGCGCCGGTTCTCAACCCGCAGGGCCTGGGGCCGGGCCTCGGTCTCTTTTCCCCGTGGCAGCCCCAGGCCCTGTGGGGCAGGGAAGGGGCCCCGCGATCTCCCAGGCAGGTCCGAGAGGGATGTGTAGATTCATTCTCCCGTGGAGAACAGGTGGCCCCGAGATCAGGCCCTTTTTTGCTCTTTGTATTTTATTTTGAAACTGTATTTAATGCTTTTATATGAAAGGGGGAGGGGCGGGGACAGAGGACCCAGTCACCCTTATGTGCAAATGTCTTATTTATTATGCGTGTATCAGAGATAAGCTGTGAGAGGTGGTGGAGGGAGGACCTGAAGGAAGGAAGAGCGAGGGCAGAGGCCGGGACGGGAGGACCCCTACTAGCTGTGCTGATGTTACTCTTGCTGGGAGACTCCGGGCCCTACTCTCTGCTCTTCACAAAGCCAGGCTGCTGCAGGGACAGTTCCCTCGGTCCTAAAGTCGGGGCGGGGAGGCTAGTGGGTGGAACTTGAGGGTTAGATCTGGAGGAAGAGATGCCCTGGCAGCGAGGGCCAGCCCCTGCTTCGGGGTGGGAAAGCAAAGGGCAAAGAGGAGGTCCCTCCTCTCTCTCCTGACCCCCAGGCCAGAACCCAAGGTTCAAGTGCCTCAGGCCCAGTCCCCTTGACTCTTCCTGTTTGGGAGTTGGATTTTATACCACGGATTTTATAGCATTTTTATATAATTCAAGATTGTCAGAATTGGAAAGGGCCCTGAGATCACTAGTACCACCCTCCTCCCCTTCACAGATAGGTAAATTGGAGCCCAGGAACCCAGATGGTCATACAGCCAGGTAGGCACAGTAGAAGAACTAGAATGAAAATTCTAGCTCCCGACTCAGTGTTCTTTACCCGATACCAGGCTGCTTCCCAATTCACTGGTTATTAAAATTTGTCAGGCCTGCCGAAGGATTGACATGCTGGGCACTGCAGGCCACCACAGTGGATATGTGACTCCTGAAGGTGGCAAAGCCCTGCACACTGCTTTGGGATGAGCACGCTGAGCTCTGCAGGGCCTCAGCTGGAAGGCGCCGTGGGCTCAGCCTTCCTCTCCCC